ATTTGCAAAGTTATTGAGAAACCTTAGCTCCTTTAATAGAAATACTCACTTTTCTTTTTTTTTTCTCATTGAGTTTATTGGTACTTTTTAAGTAAACAGTAGAGTTACATTCATCTTTGGGTCTTGTACCTTTACATGATAGATCTTGGTTTTCATTTTTTCCCCATACCCCTGACCTCCCTTCACCCCCTCCTCCCTTCCCTATTTACAAATACTTTATTTCCATTTTCTCATATTTTTTCTTTTCCCTTATTTCCTTTTCCCTACCCTTCCCACTTCCCCTACACCTTTAGTCCCTTTTTCTTCCTATTTCACATTGTCAATTATACCATCTGGATCTTATTTACACTTTTAGTTTTTCACATCAGAGAAACTATTTGGTATTTAAAGATGTGTGTCTTATTTATTTAATTTAAGAGCATGACCTCAATGTGCATCTGTTTTCCTATGAATGGCTCTAGTATCTCATTCTTTATGGCTGAGTAGTATTCCATTTTATAGAAAAACCACATCTTTATCCAGTCTCCAAATGATGGGCAACTGGGCTGTTCCCAAGTTTTGGCTATTACAAACCGTGCTTTTATAAACATGGGTGTACATCTATCACTGTGGTATGATCCTTTTAATTCCTTTGGAAAGATACCCAGCAGAAGGATAGCTGGGACAAATGGAACCTCTAGTCCCAGCTCTTTGAGGTATCTCCATAATGATTTCCATAGTGGTTGCACCAGTCTGCACTCCCACCAACAATGGAGAAGGGTTCCTTTCTCCCCACAACCCCACCAGCATTTGTTACTGGTTGATTGCTTGATAGCAGCCATTCTTTGTGGGGTGAGGTGGAATCTCAGTGTTGTTTTCATCTGCATCTCTCGAATGACCAGTGATGTAGAACATTTTTCCATATATTTATTTGCTGCTTTTACTTCTTTGTCTGCTAAATGTCTGTTCATCTCAGATGCCCATTTTTGAATTGGGTCTTTGCATTTGGGGGGTCTGATTTTTGAGTTCTCTATATATTCTTGATAATAGTCCTTTGTCTGAGGAGCAACTGGTAAAAATTTTTTCCCATATTGTAGGTTGTCTCTTAGTTCTGTTGATGATTTCTTTTGCAGTGCAGAAGCTTTTTTAATAAGATGAGATCCCAGTTGTTGATTCTGTACTAGTTCTTGTGCTACTGAGGATTTGTTCATAAAGTCTTTTCCTATGCCAAAGTCTTTGAGAGTTCTGCCTAACTTATCTTCCAGCAAGTTTAGTGTTTCTGTTTTAATATTTAGATCTTTAATCCACTTGGATTTTAGTTTAGTGCATGGTGAAAGATAAGGGTCTAGATTTAGTCTTTGGCAGATTGAAATCCAGTTTTTCAAACACCATTTATTAAAGAGGCTATCTTTTCTCCAGTGAGGATGGTTGGCTCTTTTGTGAAAGATGAGGTGGCTGAGTACATCTGGATTGGTTTTTGTATCTTCCAATCTATTCCACTGATCCTCAGGTCTGTTCCTTTGCCAGTACCATGCTGTTTTTATCACAGTGGCTTTGTAGTACAGTTTCAAGTTAAGAATTCTGATACCCACTGTCAAGTTGGCTCTTTTGTCAAAGATGAGGTAGCTGAGTACATCTGGAGTTATTTTTGTATCTTCCAATCTATTCTACCTATCCTCGGGTCTTTTTCTTTGCCAGTACCATGCTGTTTTTATCACAGTGTCTTTGTAGTATAGTTTCAAGTTAAGAATTCTGATGCCCACTGTCATGTCTCTGTTGCCTAGGATGGCTTTTGCTATTCTAGGTCTTTTCTGGTTCCAAATTAATTTTTTGATTATTTTCTCTAGTTCTGTTGGAATTTCAATTGGCATTGCATTGAATCTGTATAGCAGTTTTGGTAGTATGGCCATTTTCACTATGTTGAAAGCAGAGGATATCTTTCCATTTTCTTATATCTTCTTTGATCTCTTTTTTTCAGAGTGCTGCAGTTTTCAGTGTAGAGGCCTTTTTCTTCCTTCATTAGATTGATTCTTAGATACTTCATCTTTTTGGAAGCTATTGTGAAAAGAATTGCTTCCCTAATTTCTCTTTCAGTGAGTCTGTTATTTGTGTACAAGAAGGCTATTGATTTTTGGGTGTTGACCTTGTATCCAGCTACTGTGCTGAAAGTGTCAATTGAGTCTCAAAGTCTTTTGACAGAGTTTTTTGGGTCTTCTATGTAGAGTATCATATCATCAGCAAATAATGACAGTTTAACTTCTTCCTTTCCTCTCTTTATTGCTTTAATTTCTTTCTCATTTCTAATTGCTGTGGCTAATGTTTCCAGAATTATATTGAACAGGAGCGGTGATAGTGGACATCCTTGTCTTGTTCCTGATTTTAACATGAAGGTTTCCAGTTTTTGGCCATTTAATATGATGTTGGCTGTTGGTTTTTCATAGATAGACTTTATCAAGTTGAGATAAAAACCATCTTTTCCAAATTTCTGCAGTTTATTTTAATCGAATGGGTTTTGAATTTTGTCAAATGCTTTTTCTGCATCTATTGAGGTGATCATATGGTTTTTCTCCTAGACTCTGTTGATATAGTGTATTACATTTATTGCTTTATGAATGTTGAACCATCCTTGCATCCCTGGGATAATACAGTCTTGGTCAGGGTGTATTATCTATCTTCTTGGTAACCCTCTGTATTCTGTTTGCCAGTATCTTATTGAGGATTTTTGCATCTATGTTCACTTAGGAGATTGTGCTGTAGTTCTCTTTTTTGGTTGGGTCTTTCCCTGGTTTTGGAATCAAAGCAACACTTGCTTGCAGGAATGGATTTGGAAGTATTGCTTCCTTTCAATTTCATTGAAAAGTTTAAAGAGTAGTAGCAGTAGTTCTTCTCTAAATGTCTTGTAGAATTCAACAGTGAATCCATCAGGACCTGGGTTTTTTTTTTGTTGGTAAATTTTTAATTACATTTTCAATTTCACCAATTGTTATTGGGTATATAGAATTTTTTCTTCTTTGTTCAACTTTGGTAATTCATGAGCATCAAGAAATCTGTCTTCTGTGTTTTCCATTTTATCAAAGTACAGGTTCTCAAAGTAGATATTGATGATACTCGGGACTTCTGGAACTCTTGTGACTTCACCTTTTTTGTTCCTAATTGTTTCTAATTGCATGGATCTGAGCCTTTTCTTTCATTTTTTTTTTGACAAGGTTGGCTAGGGTTTATCAATTTTATTTATTCTTTAAAAACACTAACTCTGATTCATTTATTTTTGTATCATTTTCTCACTTTCCATTTATTGATTTCTGCTCTGATCTTTATCATTTCCTCCCTTGTATGAGCTTTGGGTTTTTCTTGCTCTTCTTTTTCTAGGAGCCTAAGATTCATCATTAGGTTGTTTATTGCAGCTTGTTCTGTTTTCCTATTGTGGGCATTCACTGCTATGAACCATGTAGAATTCACTTCTGTTCTATGTTCTGGAGCTCAGTAAAATGGCCTTTGTGATGACCTGTGCCTCTGCAGTGTGGATTCAGGTACTGGCACAACCAGGAGGCCTTAGCGCTTGCGGGGAGGTGGGAGAAATGCTGTAGAGGTGTCTGTGTGGCTGGATAGTCCTCACTGGTCTGCTCCAATGAATGTCTGGGGCTCTGGAGGTGGGAGAGTAGTGAGCTCGCTGCATGGCTGGATGGTCCTCACCAGTCTGCCTCAGTTTTCTTAAGTGACAAAAAAACAAAACAAAACAAAACAAAAACAACCTAATAAAGACAACATGAGAACAGGAAATTTTCTTGGAAAAGAAAATCTTTGTTTCCTTTCCAATGTCCTTTAATATAAGCAAAAATTCTTCACAATTTCCTACCAGCATTCAGCCAATAATAGTCCAGAGCTCCTTGTTTATAGTGTATTTTAGATATTGCTCCGTTTTTTGAAAACCTTCTAAATAATTCTCTTCTAATCTTAGCCATCTTGATAACCCATAAAATTCTGCACACAGGATTAATCTTTCACAAAACTTTGATAATGTTCTTATACATTCAGGTTTGTTCTAGATTTTTCATATTCTTGGTTTAGAATATCCATTGTTCTCTTTTAGCAAAATAATTACTCTCTTTTTACCATAATATAAAACTTCATATATTATAGTTTTCCTTTGCAAATGCACATCTTATCTTCCTCTCATAGAAACATATAAGGTTTTCCTTTTCTTATTTCAAGTAATTACATATACTAACTGCATACACTAATTTGAATTTTTACCTTATAAACCTTAATTTTTAATGAACACTCTTCATTAGGAATACACTCTTCATTAGGCTGTAGTTTGTTGATATATTAAGATAGATTACAGTTTGATACATATGGATACTGCTTTAGACTAAACTGGTCACCATATACAAGATAGTGTATTGACTTTGAGTAATATTTCATTGCTCAAATTAATTCGATGTGTGTATATGTAACATTTTCCAAAGAAGCCTTAAAGGCCATATTCCTGATGGCTTTAGGAGTTTTGAATAAAAATGTGGATTTAGAATAACTTAAAGTGGTTTTTCCCCTGCAGTTTGTGTATGTATACTTTAGAGAAAGGACCACATGTGTACCTGAAATTTGCTGATTTAACATAAAAAATGAGGATAATATTTTGATGACTTAGAATTATAACATCCAATTTCTCATGTTAGTACATGTAATATACTTTGAAATATACAGCTCTTTCAAGAATAGTTTTAATTTTACATTTTATTAACTTTTAATACACCATATCCTTTGAAGTATTGCTCACAAAGGAAAAGAATTACAACAGAAAGACAAAATAATTAAATAATTTTTGAAAAATTGAGAGTTGTAACTAAAAGAAACCATGAGAATCTGTAGCTCTATCAATACTACATTGCCACTGTGCATCTTTCCTGACTGTGGGACCTTATAGTAATCCCCCACATTATACTGTAGTCCCCTCTTGCACTTTTTTATGTTGGAGAAAGCTACATAGACATCATTTTAATGGTTGCAAGGAAAAAAGTTTTGTTTTTTTAAATTTTAGGGATTGAGTGTCGGTATACTGGGACCTACATTTCAAGATTTGGCAGTGAATGTGAACCGAAATATCAGCAGTCTTTCTCTAATTTTTGTGGGCCGAGCCTCTGGATTCTTCTGTGGCTCTATGATTGGTGGAATTCTTTTTGACTGTATGAATCATTTTTTACTTTTGGGTAAGGAAACACCAGTTTTGTTTCTTTGTAAATGTAAATGTATTTACAGTGTGGCTTTAAATATGAGAAACAGCAGCCTGCAGAATGGCTGACAAGTGAAATGTGTGTTTTAGGTGCTCTCTGAGAATCTGGGCTCCCTGCTGTCATTTGGCAGTGAGAGGGAATCTGCACTGAGCTCTCCGGAAACAGCTCTGTGGGGTGTGTGTGTAATCCTGAGCCTTCCCAACCATCACCGCAGTTAGGGCGCCACTCCAGGGTCACACAGTGGAGATCCTAAAGCTTTCCAGGGAGTGTGGGGGCAGATCTCAGGCAATAAGGATCAGAATGAACACCCAGAACCTGCCAGGGTCTGTGGCTTCTGTACTGAAAATGAAAGGGCCCAGAAACCGTGAGTGGGCTGATGTTGTAGGTTACATTTTTGTTCCCACTGCCCCATGTCAGCGATGACCCCAGAATGGCCTTCTTCGCCCTGAACATAGATGGCAAAGCATTTAATATACCCTTTTAAAATAATTGATGTTTTAAAAGAATATTTAATGTGATAAATATTTTTGGAAACAAGGTGAATAATTTATTGTCAATGAGTATAAATAGTATATCTTACTTTCAAAGGAGACTGAAAGAATACATTTTTAATATTTTCATTCCTAATCCTGAAATTATTTAACAACTATTACTATAGACTACTATATCAATTGCCTTTTTATATTGATTCATATCAAAATTTGCTTTTAGATTCTTAAATGTGAAACATTTAAGTGAACAATATTTTGCCTCTTTTGCTATAAAACTTCTTTGTAGTTAGATTATTCATTGTGCTAGAATTATGTTCTGGTAATTGTAACTTGTATTGTATAATCTATAAAGCTTATATAAGATTTAGATGATGTACCAACTCCCAGCTGCTGTAATCCTTATCTTTTCACGATTACCCAGTTTTTGTTGCACTTTATTTGGCATTTTTGAGTTTATTGACTTGGCTCATAAACCTAATGAACATTGTCTTTTATAGCTGACTTTCACCTTTTCTTCTCAGGGGTGTCGATGTGGGGTACTACAGTTGGCCTCTTCCTTGTTCCTTTTTGCAAGGCAGCAGTATTACTGATTGTCGTGATGTCTGTCTTTGGTGCATCAGTTGGTGTTCTGGATACAGGTTAGTGAATCTCCAGGGTCATTTCTGGGAGTACAGACTTTTTACTAGGAGAGTAGGGCAGGTGGTATTACACTGTTACTTGTAAAGCTCTTGAAATGACTTGGACTTACTGATTTGTTCACGGGCCACCCAGTGAGAGCCACCTTTCTGGAGAGCTTTATTTTCTTGCCAATCAGGGACCCAGGTTTTGAGCAGCCAACTATGAATTGACTGGAAGGGATTTTGTTCTAGGGGAGATAGCAAGAACTCTGGTATGTTCAGGGTCTTGAATGTTTTGAATTATTTGATAGATAGCTAGATAGAAATACAGATATAATGTCCTTCAAATGTTACTATCAAGTGTAAATAGAGAAAGCTTTGGTAATTTAATCCTATCTGATGATAAACAGGTCTATAAATATTATTCCCCAGTCTGTTGTTTGCACTGTTTTATAAAAGCCTGTACCTCAGTAGACTGAGGTTGAAGGATCACAAATGAAGGAAACCTGGGCAACTTAGTGAGACCACATTTTAAAATAAAAAATGAAAAGTGGGCTTGGCATGCCACTCAGTGCCCCTTAGATTTAACCCTCAGTGTTAAAGGAAAAAAAATTGCTAATGTGCCTAGCTCTGACAGGCAGCTGTTTCCACCTGTGGAATTCCATATAGGTATGAGATGTAATAAAGCATAGTTCTCTGGTGACAGCAGGTTAGAGTTCCTTCATCACAGAATTGACTCAGGTGCAATGTTGATCACTGAGGTTGTCACAAAGCTGCTGCCACATAATGCAGACTCATCCTCCCCCTGTTAGGAATGAACTGTTTTGGTTTTGTTTTGCTTTTTCTAAGCTACTGTACATAACTTAAATTGTTGCCTGCATCTTTCATTGGTAGGTGCAAATGTCCTTATCCTGGCTTTATGGGGGGACGAAGGAGCCCCACACATGCAGGCCCTGCACTTCAGTTTTGCCTTGGGTGCCTTTTTGGCTCCTCTTCTGGCAAAATTGGCCTTGGGAACCACAGTGTCCGCCGAAAACCACACGGAGCCTGACCTTCACCCTCCAGCCCTCAACCAATCCCCTGAAGCCAGCCTGGACCCTCTGTTTGCAGTACCTGATGACTTGAACTTACTGTGGGCTTATGCTTCTGTCGGCGCATACATTTTTGTGGTTTCTGTCTTCCTGTTTGCTCTGTTTTTCAAAAAAACCTCGAAGCACGGAAAATCCACAGCATCTGCCCAGGTGTCTCGAAGAGCTAAATATCACAAGGCCCTGCTCTGTCTCCTTTTCATGTTCTTCTTCTTTTATGTTGGAGCTGAGGTAACCTACGGCTCTTACGTTTTCTCATTTGCAACCACCCATGTTGGCATGGAAGAAAGTGAAGCGGCTGGGTTGAACTCCATCTTCTGGGGGACCTTTGCAGCCTGCAGGGGCCTGGCAATCTTCTTCGCTACGTGTTTGCAGCCTGGAACCATGATTGTGTTGAGCAACATTGGCAGCCTGGTCTCATCGTTATTTCTGGTGCTTTTTGACAAGAACCCACTTTGTCTCTGGATAGCAACTTCAGTGTATGGGGCCTCAATGGCCACCACCTTTCCCAGTGGTATTTCTTGGCTTGAGCAGTACACAAGCATAAGTGGGAAATCTGCAGCTTTTTTTGTCATTGGTGCTTGTCTGGGAGACATGGCTATTCCTGCAGTAATTGGAATTCTTCAAGGACAATACCCGGATTTGCCAGTCGTTCTGTACACCTGTTTGGGGTCAGCAATATTCACTGCTGTATTATTTCCTGTGATGTATAAATTAGCCACCTGTCCTCTGGATCTTCAGCGGAAAGAAAACAGGAGTGAGAATCAGAAAACTTTGCCCCCTAGTTCTAGGCTATGAAGAAGAGTATGAAAGGAAGGGATGCAGAAGAATAGAATAAGTGGATTTTGAAGTGGTGGAATTGAATGACACAATGAAGCATTCTGTAAGAAGGGGTATAGTTTTTTTGTTTTTGTTCTTTTTGAGGTAGGGTCTCACTGTATGGCCTAGACTATCCACAAACTTGAAGCAGTCCTTCTGTCTCAGTAGAAATATTTTGATGGAATAATAGCTGAAGTCTCTGCCAAATTTCTGTCAGATGCATTAATGTGTGATTCTTTTCCATTTGATAGTGGTGATCTCCCTGTGAAATAGTTTGCCAGAGCACAAAAGGGACCAATACTTAGAGAAGATGGATTATTCACTTTCTTTGAATAATCACCACTACTGGAGAGTTTGGTCAGAGCACAGCATTGATAGATTTTCAGCAGGCTTTGAGGATCAAAGTTTCTGGGTCCATGTATAGAAAATGCTGAAGTTTGGAAATGTTCTGCAATTCCAAGGGTCTTCCACAAGCTGCCAAGTTGTCTCATACCGTGAGTTCTTGTTATGAGACTCATGCCTGTCATTAAGATGATTAGGGAGTGTTTTTGTCTCCTACCTTTAGAGCACACAAATAAAGTATTTGTTTCTCTCTTTTTTTGAGAAATTAGATAGTATGCAATAGAGCAAAACCATGGAGGAGTCGATGGATTTATTAAGCAAATTATCAGACATCCCTATGCCACTTGGAAAGTTGGGTAGCATAGTTTTATGAAAGAGCATCCTTCTAAATATGTAAATATTTTTATTGATTGCTTTACCTTATCTGTAGGAATGGGCCACAATGCTAAAGGCTCATATGATCTTTTACTTCTATGAAGAGAAAACAAAAGGCAGGGCCCCCAAATCCTGGCTTCAATCTTTGATTCTGCCTTCTTGCTTTGCACTGAGGTACTTTGCATGGGCCTCACTTAAATCTTCCCCTATTCTGTGATTCTACAAATGAAAATAGATAATTTCCAAACTGAAAATCCTTTAAGTTTTAAAGTTTGTGCAAGCTATCTCATAGACATCAATGTGTCAACCCATCCATCATTTCAAGTGTAACAAATGTAATAGTTTAGAATGTGCTACTGGTTATGACTATGTGCCAGTTTAATGTACTTAATGTTTGATACTTTATTTAAATAAATTTCTGAAGAATAATTTTTACTGCTAAATTTCATTGATCCTGAGATATATCTTTTCTTCACACGTTTAATGTCTTTGAAATTTGTATATGGCTACAATCAATAATCACTTAATATTGTGACAAAATTATTTCTTATATACATATATAAAATAATGCTGTATTTTACAATCTGGCTTACATGCAGTGAAATACAATAATTCATTCATTTATGGAGATTGTACTCTTTTTGCAGATATTTTTAAAGAAAAAATTTGGTTTGCATGCACACGCGTGTGTTTGCGTTGCTGAGGATTAAACCCATGGCCTTTTGTATGCTAGGCAAGTGCTCTCCCACTGAGCTACATCCCCGTCCCTGAAGTTATTTTATATGCTGGTTTTATCTGAAGTTGTATTGTATTCCCTCTCTAGGACCACTGTATTAGTGCACTAGCTCCTTAATTGCTAGCTTGACCTTGGATATAGGCCCCTTCTAAAAACCCATAAATTACAGAGATAAGGGCAAGCAGGACCACTTAGGAATGGCATGGGGGATGGTTAAGGTCTTGAGGCCTGGGATCCATCTATGACAGCCCAGGGAACCAATCGGGTTATGGCAAGTTCCAGATAATAAAACATGGGACAAAAGGCCCTGAGTCCTCCATCCCTCCGGAGCCCCTTAGCCTGATTTATCAGAGTAGCTATTTATATTCTCCTTTTTCCTCTTTTCCAGTGAAGTATTTTCCCTTCTTTAAATGTTGTATCTTTAATTTTTTTTTCCTCTTCCTGAGTGGTCCCAGTGAGCTGCTCAGACAGCAGAGCAGCATAGCTGTTCTGAAGGACACACACACACACACACACACACACACACACCCACCTCTGGACACAACAGTACCTGTCACCTACAATTTAAAGGAGGAGAAGTACAGTTTTGCTCACAGTTTGTAGAATTTTCAGTCCATAGTCAGCTGGCTCCAAGGCAGGGCAGCATGGGAGAGCAATGAAGCAGAGGAGAGCTTCTCATGGGAATGGGGAAATGGAGAGAGCAAGGGAGAAGCCAAGGAGGGGGCTAAGCCCTTCCAAGCTATAGCCCTAGTGACCTTCCTCTTCTGACCAGACAGTACCTCTTAAGAGCAAGCCAGCTATAAACCCTCATTAACCAATCACCTTCCAAAAGTCTTACCTATGAGTGCATGAGACACTTCAGGGAAACTGAGTTGTAAACCATTACAGTTGAGGATATAACTCAGTGGTAATACACTTGGATAGCATGTGCAAGACCCTGGGATCAATCCCCAATGTTGTATGCATGCATACATACTACATGAGTGTGGGCATGTACACACACACAATCATAAAGAAAGTTATATACTTCCAAGATACAGTAGTGGGATAGTCACATGGTAATTATTCCCTCAAAAGGGAAGGAATAGACTCTTGCAGTTGTGTGGTTCAGATAGGGTGAGAGGCCAGTCTACAGGTAAGAGGTTCAGGGATGTTCACTTCCTGCCAAAGGAAGATAAAAGGAAAGCTATAACAAGTAGCTATTGTTTTCATTTCAGTCATGTAAGGTAAGAGCTGTATTCCCAGCCCCCACCTTTTATTTTGCTACAGTTTGTGTATTTGTTAGTGCTAGCTTATTTGGACCATTTGTTTTTGAGACAGGATCTTGGTAAAGGGACCAAGCTGTCACAGAATTTGCAATGGTCTTGCAATCTTGTGCCACAAGGCCTGGTATAAAGTGTCAGGGTCTCAAGGGCCCTTATTAATGCAAGCTTTTTAAGAGTAAATAAAAATGAAAATTTACTAATAAACTCTTCCTCAGTGCACCTAAGGATCCAGGAAAGTTCAAAATGCAAGAGAAATATTATAGTAATTAATCTGATCCCCCAACATTAGCAATTTAATTTAGGTACTATTGGAAAGGAAGATTTGTTTTCAATCTCAACTTTGTAAAAATTTCAAGTAAGTTAGATTGCATAGCACAGGACCACATTAAATGAGGCATAGAGTGGGCTTGGGGTCCCACACCTAAAATACTAGCCCTTGAGGGGGCTGGGGCGGAAGGATGACAAGTTCTAGCAGAGCTTGGGCTACTTAGGGAGGCACCTACCTTAAAATACACAAGCAGTGTGCATCTATCTCAATGGGAAAGTTGGGTTTTTGTCCACAGTAAGGAAAGGAAAATGAAAATATAGAAGAACCTGCATCAAGGCCACTGGTCTTGGCCTGTTGCTTGGAGCCAGGTGCCAACCTAGGGCTGTGGGCTGAACAACAGGCTGGACAGACTCTAGGCATGGTGATGTGGTGCTGCCTGAAGAGAGCAGGTCTTAGCCTTGGTGGTGGCCAAGGTGACCAGTGGGGACCAAATCCCAGCAGCTCATCAGAGGCAGAGGTGGGGACACAGGTGACAGCAACAGCAGCCAGGCAGGTCTTTGGGGAGAGCCACAGGAAGCAGGCCTCAGCAAAGCCATGTCTAGCAGCTTCCTGTGGCACTGGGTTCCTGCACCCCTGTACCCAGCTAGGGTGGCCACCAAGGACCCCCTCAGCTCCATCTCAGGGTTTGGCAGAAACTCTGATGTCAGTAATCGATGCCCAGTGACTTTTGCTTTCACTTAAGCGCTCCCTGAAGGAAGATGTATTCTTCCAAAAACCTACTGCCGTGGAGGAATTCATTGATCACCCCACAGCAACTCAGAGAATTGAGGCATGGCCACTCTAATCTTCTGTGGAGTAAGTAGTGAATGTGCTGTGAGGCGATGGTTACGTGACAAATTATGTTTCCTTGCTGGACTCTCACATGGCTCCATGATTGTGACAATAACAGGTCACGATCCACATGTAAGCAAAAAAGGAAGGAAGGAAGGAAGGAAAAAAAGAAGGTGTTAGTTACGTTTCCTATTGCTGAGACAAAATATCTAACACCCAAAATTAAAAGAGGAAAGATTTATTTTGGCTTCCAGGTTGTACAGGTTTCATCCATAATTGGCTGGCTCCAAGGCAGGGTGGCATTGAAAAGAGGCACCACAGAGCAGGCAGGACGCAGCAGCAGATAAGCAGCCACAGCAAGCATTCTTTTTGTCCCTTATATTTCATCCAGGGCTTTCCCAAAGGGCAGTGGCAATCACATCCAGGGTGGGGCACCCTTCATTCCAGCATTACATCCTTAATTCCAGTATCACACACCCTAGGTCCAGCCAGCTGCCAAGAAGCCTCCTATGACAACACGAGGCTTAGGAGGGACATCGAACTACTAGCCATGGCAAGGAAGGAAGAAGAAATGTAAATTTCACATGGGGTTAAGAGTCTGATGTTCTCACCAAGACTATCGTCACATCAGACAATTACGTACTTCCCAAGAAGCTCCAGCCAAAACTACGTGTCCAGTCTAATGGAGGAATAGGAACAATAACTTGCCCCTAAAAGTGTCCACCAGAGATCCTTGGGGCATCTTAAAAACTGAAATTGTGCTGAACAATATGAGGCACTTGGTACTTTAAGTATTAGCTATCATTAAAGAAAAATAAAAGCAAAGCATCACAAGTCCTACAGATGGAGGGCTTATATATTTTTTATTTTTTCATTTTACTACTTCTTTTCTAGTGCCGAGATGTAAACCTAGGTTCTCATGCATGCTAGCCAAGCACTATACTTCTAAGCTACACCATCTTCCCTGAAACAGTATTAAGAGCAGTTGGTGTATATTAATGAAAATCTCCAAGTACTGACCAAAATGTATGTGCTATACAGAGAGTGAAAAAGTAACCCCCAAAATATGTAAAATTCCACAAGAGTAACTATTAGCAAAGAACAACACAGTTATATTTAACAGGAAAAAGATCATGAGAGTAAAAAGCATGTTTACAATGTAGGGAATTTTGGGGATGGTAATGTAGCTCTGCTGTAAGCTCCTGCATGGGACACACGAGGCCTGGGTTCAGTCTCCAGTGAATAAAATGCAGGGAAGTCAGGGCAGTGGGATGGAGGGAGGAGAAGGGATGGAAGAAGAGGGGAAAATAAATATACCATCCTAAATAAATATACCATCACAGGAGGACCCCAAATGCCAAAAATGACATTGTCAAAGAACAAAGGCCATGCAGCATGGTAGTGCATTGTGGTAACACCAGCTATTCAGGAGGCTGAGGTAGAAAGATTGTAAGTTCATGGGCATCCTGGATAACTTTGCAATACAAGGGAACAATACAAAGAAACAAACAAATAAATAATATATCCTAAGTCGATTCCCTGTACTGCTAAACATACACACACACACACACACACACACACACACAATACACTCTCATACAAATGTGGGACACTCACAGCTACTAATTTTGGATGGCACATAAGGAGGGATATTGTTGCTATCTGCTGAGAAGGTAGAGTGTAGGTTCAGGTGTCGGGAATTCACTCTTGTTATGCTACCTGGAAAGAATCAGTTCCTCATGGTTATGGACTGGAGTGTTGATTTCATACTGACTTGCACCTCGCTCCAACTCTCAGTTCTGTAAGGCCTGTTATGGTTTCTTGCCATGTGACTTTCTCATAGATCCTCTCCACATGGCAGCCTCTTTAAAGCCACTGGAAAAATCTCTCCAGGCTGGGCCCCGATCCACAGGGGGAAACAGAGCCACGCCTGCTCCCGACCCAGCCACCATTGCTCAAGCACCGGGAGGTAGCTGCGCAGGAGACCCTGAACCCCCATAAGCTCCCCCTCCACCCGCACTTTCAGTCCTCCTGACTGTGCCAGTCTTTGGACCCACTCTGCAGAGGCAGAGGTGGTCATCAAGGGTATTTTTCTGAGTTCCCAACTTT